TATATATATATGTATGTATGTATAATGAGCTGTTGCTTTCAGCTTGTACGATCCGAAGACCTAATTTGTGGTGTTCTCTTTTAATGCTTATTATAATTAAAATAAAATAAAAAATCGAATCACATCTAATCCTCAGGGGCAGATGTTAGACAATTCTGATCACCCTGGCGAACCTGTGGGTCCACGCCAGGGTTTAATTTATAATAAATTATATAGAATAGAAATGGAACACAAATTTTTATTTACAAAATTTAATTCTAAATGATAAAAAAAACCAATCACATCTAATCCTCAGGGTCGATGTGAGGCAATTCTGATCATCCAGGTGAACATGTAGGCCCCCCCTCAGGGTTCAATTTATAACAAATCATACAATTTTTATTTACAAATTATAATATATTTATTTATTTCAGGGATACTTGAGATTGTCACTTATCCGAAGACAAAAGAATATTGTTTTTATTTATTTATTTATTTATATTCGTGATCTCATTGGTCATGCAAGCATGCATTATTATATTAAAAATGGTTCTTTTCTTATCTCATTATCTTCCTTATTATATGACAACATGTTCTAATGAATATGTTATCAAAATACAATTATTATGATATTTTTTTAATTATGTATTTTGGATTGTAGGCTGAGGTATGTCGGAGGCTCCAATGGAATGCTGCCACGTGCTAGTGATTATGATTGCGGGCTCATTGAATATTTGTTTTCGTGTTTTTGTAATGATGTTTGTTTAAGGAGTAATTAATGTGCATAAGGAGTGTTAGATGTTTTTGAGCCATTGAAAGATTGCGTAGATGAATGTTATATGAGCAACAATTTATATGTTTTTGAGTGTAGGTCTTATTGTATTTATATTTGTAGTTTTTTTTTTCTATTTTATTGGAGTTGTTACGTGATTTACTTTTCATGTGATGGGATAATGTGCTTCTTGATTTGTTTGGAATTTCAAAATTACAAATTTGATGGAGTGAACTAATGACTAAAGCAAATTGTTTGATTGTTATTATTATTATTTTTTTTTGGTAAAAAAATTAAGGGTTTGTTTGGGGCGGCGGTGCAGTACCACACAATAGTTTTGTCCATTTGGATAAAATGTGTTTTGACAACTTTTTCAAAAAGTTGATGCTAAAATCAATCTTTTTTTTACCGATCCTGACTAGGCGTGGTGGAAGCGTTCTAGCTGCGGTCTCATTTTTTCAAAAAAACAAAAAAATGTTATGACCACTGCAAACATCCGATTGTTCTTCTGTAGCTTCACAACTACTTCTTAATAGAAGCTGCAGCTACCCCAAGCAGACCCTAGGTCTAGATTTAATATTTTAAAACACAAGTTAAAAACCCATATAATTTTCATAAAATTTGGGAAAACTTATAATAAAAAAAAATTTAAAATGTCATGTATCAAAAAAGACAAATATTCATAAAAATTAATTTGATAAAATCCCATCATTGCAATCTCAATAACTACAAAAAACTAAAATGAGTGAAGCAAAATCAAAAACTCAAAATGAGGGTTATGTGGTACTTATTATCATTCATCTGACATACATATATTTTCAATGGAGGCTATTTACAGAACTGCAAAACTCAAAAACCTCATAAATAATCTATCATACCTGAGTGCTCATTACTTGCCTGTAAATTATAATGAGTTGGGGAGATTTATTAATTTAAACTTAATTTACCTATAAGATTTATTAAACCGGGTTATGTGGTACTTATTATCATTCATCTGACATAAATATATTTTCAATGGAGACTATTAACAGAACTGTAAAACTCAGAAACCTCATAAATAATCTATTATACCCGAGTGCTCATTACTTGCCTGAAAATTATAATGAGTTGGAGAGATTTATTAATTTAATCTTAATTTACCTATAAGATTTATTAAACCAACATAATGAGTTGTATAACATAATGAATGCTATTTTAAAATATGACTCACATAAACCATTTGCATGTTAAGCGCGTGCCTTTTGGATCTCCTCAAAGTAATTTTAAGCTGCATGATTATCTTGTCACATTGTTGATAAAGCAATAAAGCTGTCTTCTTGATCTCTTGTAACTACAAATGAGGAAGTGATGGATGGTGATAATTGTGGTTTGCTAGTGGACAATAGCCAAGTGATCTTGATAGATGACAATTAGGACATATGGTTTAACGATGATATTTGAGAGATATGAGTCACGTGAAACCAGTTAAACGATGATAATTGGGTATTTAATATATTCTTGTTAACGATGATATTTGAGAGATATGAGTCACGTGAAACCAGTTAAACGATGATAATTGGGTATTTAATATAGATTGTCAGATAAATCTCTAAATGTTGATCTAGATTGTCAGATAAATCTCTAAAGTTTACATATATCTAAGTCATCTTTAATTTCACTAAAAGATCACTCTCACATAGTTATTAAAATTTATCTTAATTATTTTTTACCAATGTTTATGGGTAATAGATTCAATTACTCAAATTGATTCATTTAATCATAGATTGTTCATTTATACCTTAATGATATGAAATTTTACCAATGTTAGACTCATTTAAATTTTCTTGTCAAGACCCGATGCGATTGTATGAATGCAATGCTTAAATATCAATTGACCCTTAATTTAATGTCCCAAAATTTCAAATTATACTTTAAATATTTAATTTACGTTCATTTGCACTCAAATCAAGTTTTTTTTATATTGTTGCATTTATTTCATAAAAATATTCATTTTTTTACTGCAATGTAAGAAATGTTTCCAATTCATCAAGAAATTTTATTATTTTACGTCAATCTCGAGACATTTTTTTAGCAAGAAATGTTTCCAACTCAAATTCACTATCATCAGTGATCCCGTTTTAACAAGTTTACAGTCAAACTGACTATCCCGACAAAACAAAACTAATGATACCAAAACTAGTTCAATTTGAGTCCAATGTAGTCCAAAATAAAGCAATTAAAATACGCTTTGGAGGCTTCAAGTTGTTTGAATGATTAAATGAATTTTAAATTTGACATATTTATAGTTAGATAGAGCACCCGATGAGAGGAATCCAATGAACTCAAACTCACTTAATTATAATATCATTAATACCCACAAAACATTAGAAAAAAATAAATCTTATGAGCAATGAATATCATTATGAATTGTTTCATCAGGTGTTTACAAAATTTATGCGCCAAATAACAAAAATACCTCTCCCCCAGAGGCTATAAATAAACCCATTCTCTTCACTGGAGAAGGGTAAGAAGTGAATTTCAATGTTGTTCTAGATAAAAGACCCAACAAAAACTTATGGTTTTCATAGCCGCCGATCGCCCCTACTCACCTTCGGCGACGAACCCCGCTAGTTAACTTCATATCCCAAATACAATGTAACAAATAATGTTGTATCAAAGATACATGAATAACTTTTGATGATAATTGCTTATAGCCTAGTGCTCATAATACGACTTTCTTTAACCTTCTATAATTTCTTCTATGATGTGTTAAGACAAATGCATTATTAAGTATAAAATTGTAATATTTTTCTTCTCAAAAGAAGGGGTACAATCGTAAACTATGACCCCAGTGGTCAGCTAGCGCTACTACAACTTTGAACCATGGCTTTTGTGGCCGACGATGCTATTACAACTTCCAAATACGACATCACTAACACTAACTTGGTATCACAATCACAATTTGCAACTTCCTCGTCTACAGCCTTTATGACTAATCTGACAATATTGCAGTCACCGACTACACCCTCCGTGACCAACTAAAGCTGTTGCAACCATCAATTATGATTTATATGACAAACTGACACTATTGCAGACACCAACAATGACCTCTATAACTGGTGATGCTGCTACAAATTTCGAACTACGACTTCTATGACAAAAACTGTTGATGTCACAAACTATGACATATGTGGTCAAATGATGTTATTACAGCCATGACTAACCAAGGCCTTTGTGATTGTTGAATGACACCACGCTTCCAACTACGACGTCCGTGACTAACTAACATTATTGCAGTCAACAACTACAACCTTTGTGTCAAACTAACGTTGTTGCAATTACCAATTACGACTCTTGTGGCCGAATGACTCAATTACAACTTCTAACTATGACATATGTAACCAACCAATGCTCTCACGGTCATCGAGCATGACTTCTATCGCCAATTGAAGCTATTACAACATTCAATTATGACTTTTGTGGCCAATTGTTACAATTGCAACAACTGTTTATGACTTATATATGTGGCTAATTGCCACTACCAATTATAGCATCTATGGTTACAACCAAAAATAACATATGTAGCTAACTATTGTTATTACACTGAATTATCACATGTGTTGTATCCCAATTGTGACTGTTATAACTAAACTAATATTGATATACATGATTTTCAGACTTGTAATTCCATATTCTCAATTTTAGAAAAGAAGTTTACATGTAGTCTCAATTACATAGTGAATTATTTGAATGTATAGGATCTCATAATATTTTTTCTTTCTAAGATTTTTCCACCTAGAGTATTCTCTTGCTTCTTTTCTATGATATATATGTGTCTGATATTTATACAATGTTAAGTGAATTATTTGAATGTATAGGATCTCATAATATTTTCTCTTTCTAAGATTTTTCCACATAAAAATACTAGAGTATTCTCTTGCTTCTTTTCTATAATATATATGTGTCTGATATTTATACAATGTTAAGACGTTAAATAAATACTCTACCGCTGTAAATCTTGTTGCACAGAATAATTTGAAGTTGAAAGACATGATTTATTATTGGAGAAAATTTAAGTCATAATATTTTAATGAAAAAAACATCAAGATAGATATTAAAATCATGCCAATAAATATATAATAAAAAAATATTTTTAATGGTTGTTAAATATTTGAGTATTTTGCTTGTAAATATAAGGTGTTAAATATATAAATACATAAGAATTGTTCAGCACTACATATATAAATGCCCAAAATTCTTAATGCTAATCATTTAAATATTGTTATTTTAAATGTTAATTTAAAATCATATTTTATTTTTAAGGAAATATAAAAAAAATAAAATCACAAAATACGTGGCTTGATTATGACACTTTTGAAACAATCTCCTTTACATTTATACCCTCGCATTTAAGATTTATAGCCCATAACTTTTTTTTTTTTTTTTGTTTTTTAGTACGACGTCACGACTTACGAGCGAGAATGGATTTGGACGGTAGCGGCCGTCGGCAAAACCCTAATTTTTTTTTTCTCCATTACCGAGTCGAATTCTCGTCTACCGTTATTTTTGTCCTTCAATTCCCTCTCATTTGCAGAGCTGAAATCCCCCATATGAATTTTATGTTTAGGGCAAAAGGGTGCGGCGAATCCCGTGCTTATCATCGCTGCTGCCATGGCCGAGAGGGCTCGACTCCAGGATCAGCTCCGCCGTATCGAGAGGCAGGTATCGGGGTTTTTTCTTACAATTCTGCCATATGAAGACTCAATCTTGATCACGCTGCTCGAATGTTGCACAATTCGCCGATTTATTCAAGAATGATTCGCTTTTGGTAGTTTCTTTATTTGCTATGCTGAAGTGTCCTTATCTTTTAAATCCCGGATTGAAGGAATGGAAGGCGTGGAAATGAGAAGACAATGGAAATAGTAAAATATTTGAAAGTGCTGAAAAACTCTTGGGGTGTAATTGAAATGCACTGAAATATTTTGAAGTAATTTGATTCGGTGTAAACTAAATATAGTTAATTATAATTTTTTATTTGATTTTAATAAAAATAAAATTAATGTAAAGCATAGCTGATGGCGGGTGACCGAGTGGCGGCGGCTGGAGAATAGAGGCCGCGGTGATGACAACGACCACGGTATTCAACGTATTTGCTAATCGTTTCAATTTGACAAATTTGAAATATACTAATTTTGAACGACATGATAAATTTCAAATTTACCAAAAAATGAAATTGCAATTTATTTTCATCCAATTAAAAATCTAAAATTTTAGAAACTCTTGTTTTATATCTGCACTACCTCAATTAATTCAAATATATATTCATATCATGTTGATGAAAGATGGAGTTATTTTTTTCTTTTTTGAGTGCCGGTAAAGAAATGTAAACCTTTGTAGGATAAATGTCCTAGTTTGCGGACTGATGGAATGAAAAGATAACGGAATACAACAACAATAACAATAACAAGCCTTTATCCCACTAAGTGAGGTTGGCTATATGAATTTTTTTTCTCCATTGTGTCTATTGAGTGTCATATATTTTTTTTTATTCTAATAAACTAAGATCATTTTTTATACACTACGCTCTAGTTTCTAGGTGTATCTCTGCCTTTCTTAACATAAGTCAAATCTAAAATATTTACTCTCCTAATTGGATCGTCTGATGGTCGACTTTTAATTTGACCAAACCATCTAAGACGAATCTCTCTAATTTTATCTGCCACTAGAGCTCACCAACCTATCACATATATATTCATTTTGCAATTTGCCTCTAAGTGCAAAACCACTCATCCACGAAATTATTCCCATCTCGGCAACACATAGCTTAGTTTTTTGCTTATCTTTTAAAGGCCAACATTCAATGTCATAGAGCATTGCAAGTCTCACCACCATCTTATAAAATTTTCCTTTCAACCTAAGCGATACTTTTCTATTACATAATAGGCCCGAAACATTCATCCACTTCAACCAATCGACTTGAATACTTACTCATAACTTCCCCATGTATGTCTATCACCATCACTTTGAAAAATAGACCCGAGATATCTAAAACGTTCACTCATTTTAATAATTTGATCTCCCATGGTTACAACTCTGTCACTAGAGCTACTACTACTAAAATTGCATTCCATGTGTTCAATTTAGTTCTACTCGAATGAAGGCCTTTAAACTTTAAAGTAGGCCTCTGTAATTCAAGTTTTTTTCTAAGTTCTTTTTATAGTATTATTCATAAGAAGGATATCATCAGCGAGAAGTATGCATCAAGGTACATCCTTCTGTAAATGTCTGGTAAGAGCATCCATAGTTAAAGCAAAAGGATATGGGATTAATACCGATGCCTGTCGTAATCCAACTAAAATAGAAAAATATATGGTCAATCCTCATTCTGTTCGGACACAAGTAACAACTCTATAATACATATCTTTAATGACTTGAATATAAGTCATATCAACACATTTCTTCTCTAGAACTCTCCAAAGGATATCTCTTGCAACTTTATCATAAGCTTTTTCTAAATCAATAAAAATCATATGTAGATCTTCCTTATTCTCTTTGTACTTCTCCAACAAACCTCTCAATAAAAGTATAGCTTCCATAATAGACCCGCCCGACATAAATTCAATTTGATTACAAGAAATATCTGTAATATGTATGAACCTATGTTCAATTACCCTCTCCCATAATTTTAAAGTATAGCTTCCTCAATAATAAGTATACTCTTCCTTCACTCCACAAACATCTTTTTAGTTTTTAAAATAACATTCAAGAGTTTAGTAAGCCAAGAAACTCCCAAATCTCCTAAATAATTCCACACATCCTAAATAATTCCACACAAAATAATTCCACACATCAATTGGGATATCATCAGGTCTTACAGACTTTTCACCATTGGTTTTCTGTAAAGCCTCATCAGCTTCTTTTTTACTATTGCAATGGTAAAAATGAAACATTTTATTATTATTGATATTAAGATCACTAAATTCGAACGTATTTTCAGAAACTTCTTGAAAGGTTTATCAAAATAACTCACCCACCCATGTTGAATATATTTTTTTTTAGAAAACTTGAAAGGTTTATCAAAATAACTCACCCACCCATGCTGAATATTTTTTTTTTTTAGGTTGAATATATTTTTTTTTAGAAAACATATTTTGATTTTCATCTTTAATACACTTTACTTGAGTAAAATCTTTATTTTTTCTCTTTGTTTGGTTAGCTTATAAATATATTTTTTGTCATCTTTAGTATCTAATATATTATAAAAATTGCTTAAAATAAAATTTTTAGCGTAATAGATTGTTCTCTTAGACTCCCTACGGGTTATTTTATATTTTTTCCTAGTTCTCTAATTTTTACATTTAAATTAATTTTTATAACATAACTTCATATGTTTTATTTTGTTATTGCACATTATTCTTCCACCACCAACCATTTTTATTTATAGAAACTATTTCTTTTGATTCTTCATGTTCATCTTTTGCCACTTATTTATTAGTGTTTGTTATTTCATCCCACATAGAGTTTGACTCTTCACGCACATCCCAAATCATGAAATTTTGAAACACACTTATAAAATAACTTTATATGTGTCATTTAGGTTATTTCATCTAATTCTATGATAATGAATCCTAGTATTCTTTATTTTACAACTTTTCATCTTAAAATTCAGAATTAACACTTTATGTTGAGTACTTAAATTCTCACTTGAAATGACCTTACAATCTTTACATTCTCGACTATCTATTTTCTCATAAAAAAATAATCAATTTGAGTTTTATTAAATCCATTATTATAAGTAATAATATGCTCGTCTCTTTATTATCCATAACAAAATCATGCACTAAAGCAAAATTTAATGTGACTCTACCTTCTTCATTAATCACTTCAAATCCGTAGCCACCATGAAAGATAATGGACCATACAAGTAAAATAGGAAGAATAGCAAACACAAATATCAAGAAAGAAATACATAACATTATTCTCCTTTTTATATGGAAGTAGGAAACCAGATGCTCTTATTTAGCATTTTGGGGGAATTTCTTGGACTTGAGTGTGAGTTACAACAAAAATAAATGCAGGAGGCCATAATGATCTAGCTAGTTAAATTTTCTTTTTACTGGTTGGATTTGATTGATGGACTTTTTCATTTAATATTATAGAAAAGGTATTTGATTCGTAACAATTTTTTTTAACTTTATCATGATTGTTACTTGCCTGCTTATGGTCTTATAGATTTGATCCAAAAGTTACAATAAGCACAACACCTTTCCACTTCGAGCAAGGGCAACTATTTGCATCATGGGCCCAAGTGTTGATGGTGAAATAGATGATGATATGGGAGCACGCTTCTTTTATAAGAGATTCCACTAGAACAAATAAGAAAAGAGGTCTTGTGAAGCAGGAAGAATAAATTTTATCTCTATCATTATAAATACTTACAAAAGGTTATATCATCATGGTCAGGTCAAATAGGGAATCTAGGTTGATAAATCTCTTAAAGGAACTAGGCTCCTTAATGTTTTATACATTTGAAGGTACCTCAAAGAGAATAAATAAAACATGCTTTTCTTTTTATTTTCCTAGATTAACATCAACAATAATAATGATTCAATAAAAATATTCGAAACATAGACGTTTATGCTTTGAGACTGATTAGTTCTTAAAGCATAGATATGTTGAATCCTCATAATTAAGTGAGGCGATTATCTTTCGAGTTAGAAAATATATGCAATAAGAATAATTATTGAATCATCAAATAATTAACAGTAGTTTGAATGGTCGGAGGGTGATGGCTGAGGATAAGGAATCCATAAAAAAATATAAATAATTTAATCAATATTTCATGAATTCTGTAAATTATGAAGCTCGAAGTTACTTAAAGGTAATGTAATCGTTTCAATCCGAATATTAGATGGTTTGTCAATAATCATAAATTTCATTGTCAAGAGTTAGCCTAAAAATTGTGATTTCTTAAGAGATAATTTATAAGCAATAGATTTAAAAAATCTTAAACTTATAATTTCTTACGGTACAAAATTTGCTTACAAAAATAAAAGAATGAGATAACCTATTTATATGCAATTAGAGCTATTCAACTGGGCTTATAATATTATTTTGATTAAGATAGCCACTATTGACTGCACTAGACTTCTAAGCATGTCAATTAAGTCTATGTTTAAGTTAAAGCTCTGTCATAAAACATGATATGCATGCGGATTATCCATCTTTAAGTAAGTGATTTTAACTATATGTAGAGCGGCCGACTATGCCATAATGTGGGAACTTGCACTTGGAGATTTTAATTGTTGGTAAGTTCTATTATGTATCTCTTCAACAAGATTCAAAAAGAATCATTTATAATTAAGAAGTTAGCTTGAAGCCATGTGATTAATTCTCTTAAAAATTTTTATAAAATGATTTTAAGTTGATTACCAATTTATTAAATTCGATACAAAAACTTTATCATAGGAGCTTATCATAATTGTGTGATTTTTCAGACACACTGCATGTCAGTAAACAACAAAAAAAGTATTACATAAACTTTAAAAATAATTTTTAATATGTTGTGATGGCAAGGAACGAATAAAATACAGTTTGATCTAGTTAGGCAAGCATTTATACTACACCTAGTTTTAAGCTAATTGGCTAAAGCGTTATAATCTATCACTTCATTTAAGTATGCACAAAAGTTTTGTGTGGTAAGGCTCATCTTATTTAATTGTGACAGGTTACTAAGCTCTACTTTTTGCTAGACTAGTCATATGAGATGTAATTATGATTAGTTGATTTTTATTATGAAAAAATTACTACCAATAATAATAATTAGCCTATCATTAATAAAATTTGAAATGAAAATCATGAATGGATGATGTCACTTATGCATAAAATTTGATTTTTTTTTTCTAATCATTTTATTTTTATTATAAAAATAGTGTTTTTATGTTTGTAAATAGAAAATTATGCATTAATCTTGATAACTAAAGTTAAACCTCATCCAAGGTTGTTGAGGTAATTTAAACTCCACACATAACAATGAGGGAGGAGAGAACGAGTCATAATCGTGTCTGATGAATTTCCCCCCCCCCCCCC